TCTCCTACCCAGTCACCTGCTACCGCTCTCCTCATCTCAAGAGACATCTTACTTCTGCCAGCCCCACCAGGTCCCCTCCACACTCCACTCCCGATGCTGACCGTTGGACATTCCTTCCTGATGCCATCTCTCTAGGAGCTGTGCCATCTGCCTCGTTCTCTGGCTACTGCAGAGCACACTGCCGTGCATGCTTTGAAAGCTTGGCTGAGCACTTCCTCCGTGTGGGGAAGCGAAGGGGGTCTACATCAAATGAACGCTGACTAGAGTGATAATTAATCCTCTTAAAGTTGCTGATTATCTTTCATTTCATCTTTGTGGGTTAGAAAAGGATTGGCATGCAGAGGCCTGACATTTTTTGTAAAGTTTTCTTGGAACACATCTACTTACTCCTTTATGTATGCGCCCTGGGAAACCAGATGAGATCTTGCTGTGTAGCCCAGAATGGTCTTGAACTCACAGTAGTTATCCTTGTGGCCATCCTGTCCCCTGTGCCTCAGCTCTCAGTGTTATGAGTATGACATTCTTTTTCCTTTTCCTGGTCCTTGGAATTGAACCCAGGGCCACATGTCTGCTAGGCCAGTGTCCACCATTGAAGTCTGAGCTCTATGCCAACCTCACCCCGCCCCAGTGTTTCGTGGTTGTTGTCATTAAGATGGGGGCTGGCCTTGACCTTGCAATGAATGTAACAAGTTGCCTCCTCTCCCCGGTGTCCAGCCTTTCCGTTTTCTTTTGAGACGGCATCTCCATAAGGTGTCCAGCCCGACCTGGAACCATCCTCCTGCCTCCTCCTCCGTGTAGCTGACATTACAGACCGTGTCACCAGGCCCAGCTGCCCTGCCTCCCGCTGAGCTCCTAATGTGACAAGCCCTTGAGCCCCTGAGGACTGTACTGTGTGTTTGCTGGGGTTTCCTGTCCAGGGATGCTTGGTGTTTGCTTTTGTTTGCCAGGTTCGCTTTCTTCCCACTGTGGGCATTTCTTCTGTGATGATGAGTCTGGGCCCTCGGTGAGCTCACATGAGGGAACCAGCTTCCAGAACTAAAGTGTAAGGAGCTTTGGGCTCAGAGAGAGGCCCTGCAGGGCTTGCTGTTAGCAAGCTGGGAGTCCGTGAGTGAAGAAGAGATCCCATTTGGCCACTCAGTGAACGGAGATTGTTGACTGGGGGACAGAGTTCTCCATGGGGTGTTCCTGTGTGGCCTGGGCCAGGTCTGCTGTGGGTCCCGGGGACTCCCATGGCCTCTGGGAGTGACCTCGGCCTCCAGCTGGGCCCTCCTGGATGGTCACCTTTACACTTTACACTCATGCCCTGCGCCTTGGCCTGCTGCCAGCATGTTTCTTTCCCAGTGGCTGGAAACTGATTAGCTGGGTGGGAGAACAGGGGAGCCTTTGTGCAGGCTCAGTGCTTCTGAGAGCTTAGCGAGAGCATTCAGAGGGAGTCTTAGGCTGTGCCAAATTATGCAGATTTGGGTTTTCTTGGTAGGGTTTCCCAGGAGCGGGCGCTTGGTGGCCTTCTCAGTTTTGTGGTCTGGAATTTCCCTAGACAAGTTACGCAGGCTTCTGCTATTGGTTGTTCTGAAATAAACAGTTCAGTCCAAGACTAATCCTAACGGCTTTTAGTGAGATTTTGCCAAAAACTCCTTCTTCAATGGATTTATTTCTCAAACCAAACTATAAAGCATATTTCTGCCTAAGAATACAGCAGAGACTCCTTGTAAGAGGGTTAGGCTGGGGGATGCCAAGGAACTCCCACCCCTGAGGTGCTCATACCTGACCTTCATGGTGGGAACCTGGAAGTTACTGGTCCAGTAAAGACACCAGGGTTCACCCTGCCTTAGATTATTTTGAACTCTAATGCCCTGGGCTGGGAGCTGAAGGTAATGAGGGTGTCCCTGGCTGTGGGACAGGTCCTGTGAGAAGGTGGCTGGAGTTCAGCGAGGCCCAGACTGTCTGTAGCTTCCAAAGAACGAGGATTTCCAACCGGCTATTTTGGGGCATGAAGGTGCACATGAGAGGTTTGAGTTTTTTTTAAGGCACAGTGTGGTGTAGCCCAGGGTGGCCTCACTGGGTGGCTGAGGACAGGTGGCCCTGGGCTCCTGATTCTGCCTCCATGTCCCAAGCCCTGTTCTCCTATTGCTAAACTGTATTTTGTGGGGTTTTGTTTGTTTGTTTGTTTTGTTTTTGTTTTTTGGTGAACTGTATCTTGTTACTTGACCATTTTCCCAGTGAGTTTTGATTTGGGCTTTTGCTCAGTTGGTTGGTCTAGGTTTTTGCTTTGTTCTTTGAGATAAGGTCCCTGGCGCAGCCCAACCTGAGCTCAGTGTTCCCTCTGAGCCTCTCAAGCCTCGGGAGTCTAGGCCCGAGCACCAAGCCCAGCCCTGACGTGGCCGTCAGCTGGCCTGCTGCTCCTTTCCTTTTCCTTGTCCTTCCTTCCCCGACGTTTCGTGTGTTTCCCGCCTTCACCTTGTGACAGCGCTGTCTAGGGCTCGGTGTCTCTAGCATGTGACAAACCCAGCTGGCTTTCAGAATTAATTCAGCTGCAGGTACACAATTAGACAGCGCTTGTCTTTGTTGTGATTTATGAGCAGCGCTTTCCCCCCCTTCCTTATGTTTATCTCGTGTGTGTGTGTGTGTGTGTGTGTGTGTGTGTGTGTGTGTGTGTGTGTGTGTGTGTGCGCGCGTGCCAGCCACAGTGCACAAGGGAGAGGTCAGGGGACAACTTGCAGGAGTTAGCTCTCTCTACGGGCAGTGAGGCTCAAACTCAGGTCATCAGACTTTGGCAGCAAGCACTCTAACCACTGAGCCATCCCACCAGAAAAAAAAACAAAGTTTTACCTGAAAACCAGGCTCTCCATCATGGGGGGGGGGGGCAAGTGGGAGTATGTCGGGAATATGAAGTGATATTTAAATGGGGCTAGAGCTCCACGAGTTTGCCAGAGTCCTTACCACCCCCGTGTGACATCAGTGGATGTCACTCTTCTGCCTCTGCTGGAGTAAGAAGTGAGAGGTACGGAGCCCATGGGCAGAAGGAGTTCTCTTTGCTGAGAGGCAGCTGTTCTAGGTGTGTGCTTCTTGCTTCACTTAATCAAACGCGAGTGCTGACGCCGCAGGGTAGGACCCTTCCCTCCCACCCTCCCAGCCTCTGGAGCTAGCGTTGAACCCAGGGCCTCAGCAGTGCAAGGCGAGTGCCCTTCCTGCCTGCCGGCCACACCCTCGCCATCTTGCTCTCGTGGTTTCCTTGGAATGAGCACCCCTTCCCCTGTCCTTGTTTTGCATGTAATAAGTATGCAGAGTGGAGATGTTTTAATTAAATGAAAGAAAACATAGTTTAAAGGGCTGTTTTAAGCGGTCACATTGGGACAAATATAATCCTAGCACAGCAAAAGCAGAGGCAGGAGGATCGCCTCAGTTTGTGCCACTGTTTGGTTGGTTGGTTGGTTGGTTTTTTGGGATGGGATTTCTGTGTGTAGCCCTGGCTGTTCTGGAACTCACTCTGTAGACCTGGCTGGCCTCGAATTCACAAAGATCCACCTCCACATACATCCCAAGTGTTAGGATTAAAGATGTGCACCAGCACTTACCGGGTACGTGTAAATGTTTTTAAATTAAATGAAATGTTTTTGATTGACATGTGAAGCAAGCTTGTTTCTAATTTAAATTTTAAAAAGTGGGAAAAAATAAATAAAGTATTTTTGAGAAGCCTTCATGTACCCCAGGTTCGCTATGTAGCTGAGGCTGCTCTTGAGTTCCTGATCTTCCGGCCTCTCCTACACAGGAGCTGGGATTACAGCAGTGAGCCACTATACCTGGTTAAGATACTTACCTGTGTGTGCATGTGTGCCAACAGTGTGTGTAGTAGTCAGAGAGCAGCATAAGAGTTGATTCGTTATTCTGCCATAGTTTAGTGTCCTGTGAAACTAACTCGGGTCGTCAGGCTTGGCAGCAATTCACTACTGACCCGTCCTGGGATCCCGAGCTGATTTTTAAAATGAGCTTTTAGGGGTTTGGAGTGATGACTCAGTGGTTAAAAGCACTGACTGACTGTTCTTGCAGAAGCCCTGAGTTCAATTCCCAGCACCCACATGGCAGCTCACAACTGTCTGTAACTCCAGTTCAAGGAGATCTGGCATCCTTACACAGTCAGACATGCAGGAAAACCCCAGTGTACATAATAATAAAAAAAAAATTATATAAAAAAATGAAGCCAGGTGGTGGCAGCCCACACTGTTAACCCCTGCACTTGAGAGGCAGAAGCAGGTGATCTCTGAGTTTAAGACCAACCTGGTCTACAAAGTGAGTTCCAGGACAGCCAGAGCTGTTACAAATTGCTGGGTATTGTGGTTCGTCCTGTAATCCCAGCTCTTAGGAGAATGAGGTCTACAAAGTGAAATCCAGGACAGCCTCCAAAACAATACAGAGAAACCCTGTCTCAAAAACCAAAAAAAAAAAAAAAAAAGACGGGGTGAAGCTGTAGCCAGGAGCTGACATACCTGCACCTGAAGTTTAGTGTCTCAGCTGTCAGGGTGACTGAAGCCAGCCTGGCAGTGTGAGACTCTCCTGAGAAAAGGAGCGAGGAAGTGTGAGCCTGTAAGATCTACCGCCGTTATTGTGTTGTTGTTGTTGTTTGGGTTTTAGATTTGGGGGACAGGATTTCACTCTCTAACCCAGGCTGGCCTCAAGCTTGTTGTTTTATAGCTCAGGCTAGCCTAGAACTTGAGATCCTCCTACCTTCTGCCTTAGGCTCCTGAGCACCGGGATGGCAGATGTGTGGACCATGCCTGGCTGTATCAGGATTTCGCTGACCAGTTAATGTTATGTAGTTGGTGACCTTCGAGGTGTGTCTGAGAGGGTCCTCTAGTGTTTCCTTTACAGCGTGGCAGTCACGGTGGCGGTCCTTGCGGTCAGGCTGATCTTGTTATAGCATGTATGTTGGCTGGGGTGATCCTTTGTGGACAGATGTGCTGCAGCGGTTTCTAACCATCTTGTGTTGTTCTCTCCCCGAGCAGAAGAAGCTGACTACAGTGCCTTTGGTACAGACACCCTCATCAGGAAGAAGAACGTGCTGAGCAATGTGCTGCGTCCTGACAACCACAGGAAGAAGCCCCACATCGTCATCAGCATGCCCCAGGACTTCCGGCCAGTGTCGTCCATCATAGATGTGGACATCCTCCCGGAGACCCACAGAAGGGTCCGGCTGTACAAGTATGGCACAGAGAAGCCCCTGGGCTTCTACATCCGCGACGGCTCCAGTGTCCGGGTGACACCACACGGCTTAGAGAAAGTCCCCGGGATCTTCATATCCCGGCTTGTCCCCGGGGGTCTGGCCCAGAGCACGGGACTGCTAGCCGTCAATGATGAGGTTTTAGAAGTAAACGGTATAGAGGTGTCGGGGAAGAGCCTGGACCAAGTGACCGACATGATGATAGCCAACAGCCGCAACCTCATCATCACCGTGCGGCCAGCTAACCAGAGGAACAACGTGGTGAGGAACAGTCGCACTTCCGGCAGCTCCAGCCAGTCCACCGACAACAGCCTCCTGGGCTACCCACAGCAGGTGGAAGCCAGCTTTGAGCCAGAGGACCAGGACAGCGATGAGGACGACATCATCATTGAAGACAGTGGCGAGCCACAGCAGATCCCAAAGGCTGCCCCGGATGCCCAGAGCCTGGAGTCCCTGACGCAGATAGAGCTCAGCTTCGAGGCGGGGCAGAACGGGTTCTCTCCTCCACAGGACCCGGTGCCTGTGCCCGGCAGCCTGGACACAGAGTTGGGACCCCGCGCTCCGGGCCAGAGGCTTTTAGAGGAAGATGGAACGATCATAACGTTGTGAGCCCACCACGTGTGTTTCCACGCACTGTAAGTGTGACACAAGACTGTCACCGTGGAGCAGGCCTCAGTGTCCACGGGCGAGCCTAAAGTGTGGCTGGGGCGGGGTGACTGCCGCCGGACTGCGACGACGCAGGCGCGAGGCCTTTGCTGCTCTCTGTGACACTGGATGCTGCTCCTGCCTGGGGTCCTGCTGCAGTCTTTGCACGTGCCCTGCAGAGCTGTCCTCTTGTCCTCTGTGAAGTCTAATGTCTCCTTTTCTGCTGGGGACCTCACTCAGTTCTTGGCTTCCCAGCATTTATATACTCTGACCTTTAACAGTGCTCCTCTGTTAAGTGTGACTGATTGTTTTTTCATGTGCAGTTTTTGTTCTGTTTTCCTGTTTTTGAAGACTTTAACTAGCTGGTCATGTATAGAGCTGCTCCCACTGTCCCGCCCTGGAGCACCCCCTTGTCTCCATCCTGTGCTTCAGAGTTTCAGGGTGCCTCAGTCCTACCGACTGCCCCTTAGCTTCCGTACCCCCAGTCCAGTGGAGATTGTCCCTGCATGTACGTGTGCGCGTGTGTGAGTGCATGCGTGTGTGTGCGCGTATGTGTGCGCGTGTGCATTTGCGTGCATGTGTGCGCGTGCGTATGTGTGTGTGCATGTGTGTGTGCGCGTGCGCATGCGTGTGTGCGCGTGTTGTGCAGTTAGTGTGCTCCGCACTCTTCCAGTGTACCAGGCAGTGTGGATCATGTTGAATAAAAAGGACCCCAGGTTGAGAGACTAACAAACAGGACAGATGTGCACTTTTATACAAAAGATGGAGTTTTTCTTCCTGGGGATCCTAGGGTGCTGCCTGCACTTCAGGAAGTCTGTGTCAAGTTCGCCACCCGAAGGGGTGTTAATTATATGGGTTATTTATTCTCTTCTGCATCCATTCAGGAGGAGGGAACAGCAGCTATCCCCCTCCCCTGATGCCACCGTGTTGCATGCACAGGCACCGAGATCCACGTGTGTGGACTCACTCTTCCCAAGTTCCCAGGAGGACAGTTATTTATTACTTAACCTTATGGTGGGGCAAGTGTAGACACTCACAGTTGTGTACCATTACAACAGCGAAGACTCCGATGACTCCAAGGTGAAGGACGCATTTTCTCTACAGCAAGAGCCGGCAGAAATGAAGTCTTGATCCAGTGAGGGGAGCTGGACTCAGTCAGTGCTGAACATGTTCTTTGCAGACGCCCAGCCGAGGCTGGGCGCAGCGACCCAGTGACTTCGTGTCGAATTCACGAGTTCTTCCTCTCGCACAGCACCGCTTGCTGACAGCATCCTGGCTCTCACACCGTGCGTGAGTTCGCAGTGTGGTTCTCAGGTGGAAAGTAGCGCTAGGTGTAGAAGGCTCAGTTGTACTCGAGCTAAGTGGCACACAGGCTCAACATTGTACGTACAAATACTCCCATGCACTACCTCTCTTCTCTCTCTTTTTTAACAGAGTTTTAACATTAGAGCTTTTCTCTTGGGGGAAAACTTCAGGGCTTGACTTTTGTACAAATTTTAACTGTAAAACACAGATTTATCTTCTGTCTGAAAATGGAGAGCAAAGCTGCTGGCGCCTGTCTTAACGTAAGGACGATAGTGTTTGCGCCAAGGTGTCGCTGATGAAGTGAGTGAGACTGGGCTGTGGGGGTCCAGTCCCGGTGGCTCGGTTCTTACGCACCTGATGACGAGAACCTGAGCCTTAGCAGCTTAGCCTGCACTCCGTTGTAGTGAACGTCAAGCCTCACTGTGAACTCTTCTGTCCTTGTCACCTGTGTCAATAAGACGCTGTGCTGTGTGAACCATGAATTTTCTAATTAAATTTTACATGCTATAACATGATTTTTACATGAATGATACTTTGTTTAAACTATCAAATGTCAGTATTTTACTACAATTTTATTATAATGTGTACATTATCACTAAATGAACTTTGATTTTAAAAATCAAGTTAGCTTTAGTTACATATTATTTTTTACAAATAAAAACGGACTTGTATAAAGGCTACTTTCTTGTTTGAAATTATATGAGAAGAGTACTTAAGCATATTTACCAGGTGTCCATTAGGTACGTAGTGGGAGACAGAGCCACAGTTGGTTTACTGTCTTCCTTTTCTGGTGCTAAGGGCTGAGCACCTACCTGATCTCACAGTTACCACATGCTCACCCCAAGCCACACACCACACCTCACACAATAGTCCAGGCTGGCCTCAGACTGCCGGCCTCAGTCTCCTGTAGCTGGGATTACAGGCACATTGCCATCCTGCCGGTTCCCTGGGGTCATTGTTTTCTGTTTTTGTTGTTGTTTTTCGAGACAGGGTTTCTCTGTATTGTTTTGGAGACTGTCCTGGAACTCACTTTGTAGACCAGGCTGGCCTCAAACTCAGAGATCTGCCTGCCTCTGCCTCCCGAGTGCTAGGATTAAAGGCGGTTTTCTGTTTTTTAATTTTAGGCCAGGTACCGTATCATGTCTTTCTTTAATCCCAGCACTCGGGGCAGAGGCAGTTGGATCTCTGTGATCCAACAGTAGACCATGTGCTATTTAGATGAAGTGTTTGTTTCATGTATGAGCACACGTGTATTTGTGTGTGTGCCACAGCTGGCTTGTGAAAGGCAGAGGACGACTTGTAGGAGTTGGCTCTCACTGCCTCCAGTGCACTGGGTTCTCAGAGGCCCATACCCAGATGTCAAAGGGTACGATTTGGTTTTCTCTTTTGAATTTTTGTTACTTGATTTCAGTTTTTTAATCTGGGAGCATTGTTTTGAGAAAGTTTCCTGTAGCCCTAGGCTGGCCTTGAACTTGTAAAACTAGTTTTGACCCTCTCTCCACTACCAGGTATCGGTATTAAAGGCATACGCCACTAGCCTTGGCTTCTTTCTTGTATCTGGCCTGGGAACTTGATATGTGACTAGGCTGGCCTTGAACTCAATGAGACTCACCTGCCTCTGCCTCCTGAGTGCTGGGATTAAAATCATGTGTCATCACATATGGCCTCTTTATTTTGTTTTGTTTTTTTTTTTTTTTTGATCTCACTATGTAGCCCAGGTTGGCCTTGAACTCAGCATTGTCCTGACTCGGGCTCCCAAGAAGCTGGGGTTGGTTTGGAGGTATGTGTATCCTTTATTTTGTGGGGAGGGGTGAGTGGGCCACAAGTATGAAGAACGCAAAGGCTAGCTCTCAGAAACGAGTCCACTCCTGCGACTTGGGCTCCCAGGATCCATGGTCTCAACACCAAGCGCTTCTACCACCGAGTCATCTTGCCAAGGCCGGTATGAATATTCTTAAGTCTGTGGGTGAGTTTCTAGACCTGGACTGAATCATGGCCTGTGCCACCCCAGTGTGTGGGCAGTGTGATGGTCATGGGCCTACACCAAGAGGCTTGGTTTTGGGAGTTTGGGGATGGGGGTAATTCCAAAGCCAGCGCAATTTCCTGTCTTGTGGAATCGAATAACTGAGACTAGGATTTCTGTTTTTTAAAGTGTGTGTTTATATAAATGTTTTGTTTTTGAGACAGGGTTTCTCTGTGTTGCCCTAGCTGTCCTGGAACTTGCTTTTGTAGACCAGGCTGGCCAGTGAGGATTTCTCGAACTGCTATCTATCAGGATGTGTAGAGTGGCCAGCCTGGTGTGGCACCTGCATGTTTAAGATGTAGACGGTGGTGGCTGAGAGATGACTCAGCAGTTAGGAGCACTGGCTGCTTTTCCAGAGGACCTTAGTTGAATTCCCAGCACCCACATGACAGTTACAACCATCTGACTCCAGTTCCAGGGGCTCTGATGCCTCTTCTGACCGCCACAGACACCAGGCATGCACATGGTGCACACATACACACAGACAAGCAAAACACATACCCGAGAAATTTTAAAAAATAGCCAGGCAAAATAGCATATGCCAGGGCTGTACAGCAAAACATTATCTTAAAATAATAATAATAATAATAAAGGGGCTGGATAGATGGCTCAGTGGTTAAGAGCACTGGCTGCTCTTCCAGAGATCCTGAGTTCAATTCCCAGCAACCACATGGTGGCTCACTACCATCCATAATGAGATCTGGTGCCCTCCTCTGGCCTGCAAGCATACATGCAGCCAGAACACAGTATACATAAAATCTTTAAATAATAAAGTAGATAGTGCACCCAAGAGATGTGCACCGCTGTGTTAACTGATTGAAAACATTGACGGCTGCCAGACCCAGGAGCACAGGCCCATCATTCCAGCTACTGGGATAGGCTGAGGCAGGATGGCATGTTCCAGGCCAACCGGGACAATCTGGACTCCCATCTCAAAAGTGTACACAGTTGTAGAGATCTAGCCTAATGTGCACGAATTTGTAGGTTCGAGCCCTGACACCAAAAAAGTAAGCAGAGCACTGAGGCAGTGCTTCCTTCGGGAAGGGGCTCATCATACAAGCATGAGCACCTGAGTCTAGATCCCCAGCTCTCACGAAAGAGCCAGGTGTGGCTGTGTAGCCCTGCCTGGGACTGGCTGACTAGTCACTTTAGTGGAATCCGCTCCTAATTTAGCAAGAGACCTGGTATCAGAAAAACAAGCTGGAGGGCCAGCAAGATGGTTCAGTGATTGCTGCCAACTTTTTTTTTTAAGATTTATTTGTTTGTTTGTTTATTATGTATACAGTGTTCTGTCTGCATGTCTGTCTGCAGGCCAGAAGAGGGCACCAGATGTCATTACAGATGGTTGTGAGCCACCATGTGGTTGCTGGGAATTGAACTCAGGACCTCTGGAAGAGCGGTCAGTGCTCTAAACCACTGAACCATCTTTCTACCTCTAATTGCTGCCAACTCTTAACAATCTGAGTTCGGTCCCCAGAAGCCACATTATGGAAGGAGAAAGCCAACTCCCTCACCACATCTGTGCAATCTGTGCACGCTCACACATGCAAATTCTTCGTTGGTTTTGTTTTTTTGAGATGGGCTCTCTGTATAGAACAAACAGGAACTCACTCTGTAGACCAGTCTGACCTTGAAATTACAGAGATCCTCCCGCCTCTGCCTCCAGAGCCCTGTGATCAAAGGTGTGTGCCACCATACCTGGCACAAATTCTTAAAAATAAATGTCTAAAGAAAAATAAGATGGAGAGCAATTGAGAAGACATTCAGTGTCAACCTTAGGCCTCCACTCGTGTGTTTTCCTATGTATATGTACATGTCACATACATGAGCATGCCACATACATGCACAGGGAATAAGTGGCTGTGAGTGGCTGGTGACTACAATCTAGGCAGGACCTTCCCTGCTTCCTCTTCTGAACCCACTTAGCTTTTCTCTCAGGTACAGGGTTCCCTCCATGTGCTGGCAAAGGTGACCCCTAGAGACTCCTATTCTGCTCCTCGGAGTCCTTGACTCAATCTGTGCCTGTGCCGACGTCATTGCCCTAACCTTGGGGAGGTGTTCCCTCACATCAGGTGCTAGCCTCACAGGAAGAAGGGCTAAGTACAGACAATACAAGAAAAACAGCCAGAGTACCAGTCACAGACTGGAGAGGTGGCTCCGTGATTAGGAGCAATGGCTGCTCTTCCAGAGGACCCTGGCTTGATTCCCAGCACCCATGACCCACCGGTGGCTCAGAACAGCCTGCAGCTCCAGCTCCAGGAGATCCAGGGGACCCAGCGCTCTCTCCAGCCTTTGTGGACGCCCACACACGTGACATTCACTTATGGACACAAATCTCATATGTAACTTACATAACCGTCCCTCCGCAGTGGCGGGAGTGTATCGTGCTAGTGGTCTTCTTGCTGGTCCACATGTCCTGGCGCTAGAGTGGGACAGGGTGGATGGGGCTGACAAGTGGGGGCCCCTGGACCCCCAGAGTAGGGGTTCAGTACTTCAAGAGCTACCGTTTGGGTATGTGTAGGCCCAAGACTACTCTTGGGGGATTCCAGGAACCCACAGTTTGATATTAAACATTCCGGTCCTCTGCAACTGAACCATCTCTTCAGGCTGCCCTCATTCACTCTTTTTTTTTTTTTTTTTTTTTTTTTTGGTTTTTCGAGACAGGGTTTTGACTTTGGAGGCTGTCCTGGAACTCGATTGGTAGTCCAGGCTGGTCTCAAACTCACAGAGATCCGCCTGCCTCTGCCTCCCGAGTGCTGGGATTAAAGGAGTGCGCCACCAACGCCCGGCCCTCATTCACTCTTATTTACTTTGAAATTTGATTTTATATGTACGAATGTTTTTCCTGCATGTGTGTTTGTGCACTACATGGGTGCCTGTTGCCCACAGACATCAGAGAAACTCTCTGGATCCCATGAGTGCTAGGCCTGAACCTGGGTCCTCTGCAAGAGCAACTGGCACTCCTAACTGCTGAGCCATTGCTCCGGCCCCTATTGAGTTTTTAAGCTAGCATTCAAAGTAATGAGCGTCGCTGTAGCATTTTCGGGCTTTTGTGTTTGAGTGTGGTGTCTCTGAGTGGGAAGCTTGGAGCCAGAGTGTGCTTGTCAGAGGATAGCTTCCAGGAGTCCATTCTCTCCTTCCATTGCTCAGCAAGCATTTTTACCACGGAGCCTTCTTGCTGGCTCAGTGTGTGTGTGTGTGTGTGTGTGTGTGTGTGTCTGTCTGTCTGTCTGCTTCTTGAAATGGGGTCTAACTGTGTGGTTCTGGCTGGTCTGAAACATACAGTGCAGATCAGAGCGCCAGCGTGAGTGCTGGGACTGTGGGTTCGAGCCACTGTGCCTCCTCTCTGACTTTAGGGCAGTGTCTCCTGTAATCTAGGCTGGCCTCAAACTCCCTATGTACCCCAGGATGACTTTGAACCCCTAATCCTCCTGCCTCTGCCTTTCAAGTCCTGAGAATGAGAAAACACCTGTCTTTTCTTCCCCTGGCCCT